ATAAAATAATAATAAAAGCTATACTAACAAAAAAAAGAAAAAAAAATAAGAATAAAAATAAGAAAAAAAAAGAAAAAAAAAAGATTTATTACGCTACATCCCGGTAGAATGAAATAAACTATGTGCGTATCAATTTTTGCCGAATAACCAAAATTAACAGTTAACTATTAATTTCTGCCAAGTCATCAAAATAAATTATCAATGTTTCCAAATAATCAAAATAATATATTTTTTCTTTTGCGAGTTATTTAGCAGCCGATCATAATAATCTGACGACAATGACACTGCCATTATACCGCACAGATCTCATACACTAAGATCATACATTTTCGAATCTATTATATAAACACAATAATGATTTAAAATGAAATATGAATACAATAATTATTTAAAATGAAACAATAATGAATAATTATATAACTTTTCTCACAAAATTTCAAGAATTACCTCTGAATTTAGCTGATTCATATGCTAGTTTAATCTCTTTAGTATTTATTAATCTGCTAGTATACATTGAGCTTTGATAATTTGGTAAAGTAATTTCCTTTGTTTTGATCTCGTCATCAGCAGAAATAAAACTCCTTATAATATCTGATTCTCCACGAGCTATTAAGGGATTCATCACAATCATGCGCCATTTTAAAAGTTTTGAACTAATATCTTTAGCACTAGGTCGCTTATATGGGTCAGAGTCCATACATTGCTTAGCTAATTCAATGTAACATTCAGGTGTTCTTTCAGAACATTCAGGTCGAAATCCGTTACAAATATCTAATGCAAGTGTAGAGTCGAACGAATAACCATAAAAAGGCCTTTTTCCGGTTGACAATTCAGTCATAATAATACCTAGACTATATATATCAGCTGCTGGTGTATATTTTTCACCTAATAAAATTTCTGGTGCAATATATGGCAAGACTCCATAAACGTCACCTTTTGAAGCTGATTCTTTCAAATCTTTAGATAATCCTAGGTCTGTAATATAATACTTCATGAAAATATTTTTGTATTGGTTTAACAAAATATTTCCACTATGAAAATCACAATGAACATATCCTGATTCATGAATCTTAGCCAAATCATTTGATATATCTATAAGGCACGTCAATTTGCTTTCCCAATCGAGTTCTTTAAAATTTAATACTAAAAAATCGTACAGATTCCCCTTATCAGCATATTGAAATACCATAAGATATTCCTGAGTTTCTATATTCTGAGTTCCTATATTCTGAGTTATTCCATATATCTCAAGCCCAAGACCATTCAATCTACATCGAACGTGGTTTTCGAACTTATTAAATTAGAAAAACAATTTTAATTGTCAGAATGATTAACACATTTGATATATTTTCGATTGAGCTTTGTAAAAAGTGATTTTATGTGAGAATTAGAGAATTTGATTTTAAAAATTTTATAATCTAACGCTAAGGTAAATACACGTATTGAAAATGGAAGTTGATTAAAAATACCGACAAATTAGCCAAGTTATATTAATGTTAATTGTAGATTCAGCCAATTTTTTCGGGATTTTTTTCAGAGCTGTTTGTAAGGTTGTGATACTTATAATATATGTAATTTGCGTGAATTTAGTAAATTTCATGTAATGTCGCCAAAAATATACACATTTAAAAAATAAAACTTTTACGCAAAAAATGCGGGATTTTATACAACACAGACTGATTATTCTAAATGTTTTTATTATAAACTTTTGATGCAACAAATGATAAAAACTAGAGATCTCATTATGTGTAACTTTTCTAAACAGCATCTGATTTCATTAATCGCTTGCGTACATACCAAATAACTAGAATAATCATCAAACATTCTTTTTGATCAAATGTACAGTTTTCTAAAAATGATTTTTGAAAGTCCGTATTTTGTTGCATAAGTTATATATTTTAAATGTGTATTTTCTTTTGATGACATTCATATATGAGTGACGGAAAGGGAAAACCTGTAAATCACTAACATTCACTGCGACGAATTAGTCCCTGAAGAATTTGATTAGTACTAGTATTCTAGTAATTTTGGTAATACATTTATTTATTACACAATATATATATGTTTTTTAATGAATCTGCTTAATAACCCAAGTATCGTGTGTTATCGAAGCGACTAGAACGTTCAGTTGATACGTACTTGATCACATGCGATCATTGCAGTATCAAATTCTTCAGAGGCCAAGTTTGTTGCAATGAGGTTAGTGATTTGATTTATAGGTTTTTCTTTTTTTTTCTTATTTTTATTCTTATTTTTTTTTCTTTTTTTTGTTAGTATAGCTTTTATTATTATTTTAT